CATTCTTAGGGGCAACCTGCAGTTTCAGTTAGCACGCAGCTAATCCAAAAAGGAATTGGCACGAGGAGTTAATACCCCCCCCCCAGAGATTTGCGGGTATCTCTGAGGTCCTGGGCCTCTCCCCACCTTCACTGTCGTCTACGGGACAGCTAGAGTTCAAAGAACCCATCCAAAAATCCTTCAGTATAGAGGAATTTCAGGAGTAGCCTGAAACTCCATCTTCTCACTGCTAAGCCCCGCCTTCTTCACTATGCCTTGCTTTCTGAGCATGGGGCGACGGGCGGTAGTTTGTGTGGAAGCCCGGTTGAGTCCTTTGCTAACAGGCAGGTTCTAGGACACCTGCCGCCACCAAAGCACCTTCCTGAAGTTGCTTTTCTGAGCACAGGGAAAATGGATGGTATTTTGTCCCTTCTTTCTCCCCATTGCTCAGAAAAGCAACTCTGGGAAGGTCCTTTGGTGGCGGCAGGCATCCTAGAACCTGCCTGCTAGCAAAGGACCTTCCCGAAGTTACTTTTCTGAGCAACGGGGAGACAGAAGGGACAAAATACCATCTGGCCGGGAAGGGTATACAGGGCTGGGGGCGGGGCAGGCTTACTTCTGGGTCCAGTCACCAACCGGTTCGTGAGAACCGGCAGGGACTGGCAGCCCTGACTCCATACTGCAAAAACCTGGGCAACCATTACCTGATAGCAAAGAGATGCAGCAATCATGATTTGGTGGACATAAAAAAAGAATATTTTATAAGTAACAAAATCCTCTATGGTAATTATTTTGTGTATCTGCCTTCAAACTTTAGTACACCTAATAATTAGTACTGGTTTTAATGCCATATTTTATTTTTGTACCATAAGGACAAGAAAGCCAGTTTGGTACAGTGGTTGAGGCACCAAACTAAAAATGGGAGAGTTCTAGACTAGCCATGGACACAAACCCAACTGGCTAACCTTGGGCAAGTATGTTCCCTCAGTCCTAGGAAGGAAGCAATTGTAAACCATTTCTAAAAACCTGGCCAAGAAAACTTCAGAGATTTGTCCAGGCAGTTAACTGGAGTCAAGACTGAGTCAAAGCCATATAAACATAAAAACAAAAAAATCATACAGTTACATAGATAATTTCTGATCTCATAATAAAACATTCATATTCTAGTCTTCAGTATTTTTTACTTGGTTCAGCCGTTACATTAAACCATCATGTAGCTTGCCTGTTTTTTTATTTGTATGAAGTGTTAGTTCTATGGTTTCATTCTGCCATACTTACAAAATCTTTGAAAGAATGATACAAAATCACCTCACTGTAGCTGTAGAATCCCTTTTCAAAAGACAGCAGGCTGGATTTCACCCTGAAAAATGCTGCAGTGCGGAGAACCTGAATTTAACCCAATATATTAAAGATGGATTACAAATGGGCAATTTTACAGGAACTGTATTCATAGATCTTATGGATGCATATGATTCCATGTGCATCCGTAGAAGAGTGAAGCAGAAAGTTTATGATAGGATTACATATATTAAACTTACAAATATCAGGAATCTGCTTTAGAACCATATGATTTTTGTAGTTTCAAGGAAGGTGAAATAGACATAGAAACCAAAGAAAAGCTTACCACTGGGTAGTATACTGGCTCCAACTCTTTTTAATATTTATAACAATGATTAGCCGCTCCTTGAAGGTACTAACAACTATATGTACACTGATGATTGAGCAATGACTTTACAGGGAGAAACATTTGAGGACGTTGAATAATGATTAACTGAAACCCTGGTGGAGCTTGATTGATATTATTGTGATAACCAATTAAAACCAAATTCCACCAGAAATTCAGGTACTGTATGTGCCTTCCATCTTTGCAATAAACAGGCTGCTTGGAAGCTGCATATTATATGAAGAAGAACGTTATTGAACATTGCTGCAACCCTATATATTTAGCGGTCACTCTAGATAGAGCCCTAACATATAAGTAGCACTGTACTAAGACACTAAACTGAAGATCAGTGGATAAAATAACATCCTCAGGAAATTAATGAGCTCTACCTGGGATGTCAAACCAAAGGACCTTAAGACAACAGCTCTAATTCTTTCTACTAAGCAGGCAGTTTGAGTAATTTGGTTTAAGTCAGCGCATACTGAGAAAGTAGATGTTGCTCTAAATGTAGCTAGCAGAATTATTACCAAATGCCTTAAACTTACTCCTCTAGATAAGATCTAGCACCTAACTGTCCCACCTTCTGTTCGCAGAGAAGCAATAGCATACACAGTTGTCTATATAACTAGACAACACCCCTCTATGGACTAAAACCAGTCCATCAGAGATTAACATAAGCAATTAACATCCTTTGGTCAACAGAAAACTTTGAAGAATTTGAAAGCAGAGTGGAACTATGGAAAGCTACAAAGAACACCAGATGGAACCAACAATGGAGCTGATCCCTTCCCCCTTCTTGATTTGTTCCAGCCACCCCCTGACTTTGGACCCCCTGGCTTCAGATCTGGAGGGTGTGGGACTCTGAAGCTGTTGCTCGCTAACATCTGGTGTTTACGTCTTGCCCCCCTCCAGCCACAACCACCTAGCACAATACGGACTTTTGGACTTTTGGCCTTGGNCCCGCTTGAGTTGTTCGCTGCCCTGAGTCCCTGTAGGGAATAGGGCGGCATATAAATAAAACAAATCTCAATCTCAATCTAAAAGGAGCTCATTCACACTATGCAAGTCAGGTGGGACAGTTGGTACCTGCGGGAAACTGCTTGGCAACTGTGGCCTAGAAGTTTTGGTTCCTTTTATAGTTGTATGTTCTCTAACTCAGCAAACAGGGATTTGTTAACCTGTAAGAGCAGAGTTTCTCCCCAGAGGACGGCATGAGCAAGGAAGGCCAGGTTTTTCCCTTGCTTGTGTGTAAGATTATTTAACCAGGAAGTGCTAGTTCAGGTCCCTTCACTGCTTGATGTGGTCAGACTTGTAGAGTCACCATCCTGTCTGTGAACCTGCTGCTGCTTCTGCAGATCTAAGCCTATATTTGTCTTTCAGGAACTGAGCATAGAATGTGGTTTAAACAATCGGATAAAAGCAATTGGACAAATCTGTGAGGTGGCAAAAACTAAGAAATTTGAAGAGGTGAGTATGCAGGGCTTGCTCTTTGGATAAATCAATGCCTGATCCACTCCACTGCTGCTGAACTGTACTTCTTACATGGATCCCCATTTATAGATGGCCTGGAATGAATGGAGGGTGGGACCCTGGATGGCTCACTCAGAGAATTTCTGTTTGCCTTCCCTAGTAGAAAAGGGGAGAGAGCAAATTCAGAGTTTAAATAAATAAAAGGAAGGCAAAACTGGCTCATTTTTTTTCTTTTGAAAGTAGATATTTTTATTCATTTCTTCTCAAGGTGACCTGGCTTTGGGTAGTTATATGGCATTGGAAGAGAATGTCAGAAAGAAGCTGTTAATTTGAGAATAGACATGATCTGAAATTCTACAGTGTTTGGTTCCTATCTTACAATATATTGGTGAGAGAGCATCCATTTACTTTGAAACAGAATGGAAAGTGTTTAAAAAAAGGCATGAATGTTTCTGGTAGGATTAGAACAGGACGGATAATAAATAATAAATCAGAAACTAACCCTGTGACGTTAAGATACAAATATCACAGTTACCTAATAGGCAAATGTTTGCTGTTGGATCTACATTTATAATTGATGCAATTTTAGCTGAAGAAACCAAAGGAGCCAACTATCTTTGATATTTCTATGCCCCTCTAGCATGCAGTGGAAGCTATTTGGAAAGCGGTAGCTGATATGCTGCAGCCAGATCGACCACCTGAGGCCCGGCATGCTGTCCTCCATCTGTTGCAGGCAATTATTCTGGGACAGGTAAGTTGCATTCCCAAGCAACTGTACTAGAAGGAAGCATCCTTTTCAAAAATGTATACCCCTTTCTTTTATCCTGAAGGGTGAAAGGCTGGGGATTCTCCGAGCTCATTTTTTTAGAGTGATTAAAGATTATCCGTCCAATGAAGACCTGCATGAGCGGCTAGAGGTATTCAAGGCACTGACTGATAATGGAAAACACATAACATACTTGGAAGAGGAACTAGGTAGGTCCCTTGTTTCAGCAGTAAATTTTTGCACTGAGAAGGGGGTGACCAAAGCTCATCTGTTTTGAGTTTCTGGTCTGATCCAGCAAGGTTTTTTCCTCCTGGTCTTACAAGGAAGGACCTCTCTGGGGAATTTTTGTGTGGGTCATTTAGAAGCTCGAGGTATTGACCCATCGTTTGTATAGAATGTTTTCTGCAGTTCAGCATCTGGCATTTTCTCCCTTTTCTTGTTGCTGCTTCTTTCAGCTGAATTTGTTCTTCAGTGGATGAAAGCTGGTTTGACTTCAGAGTTTCTGTTGGTGTTGATCAACTTAGTGAAATTCAACAGCTGCTACTTGGATGACTACATTGCTGGCATGGTCAAGTAAGACAAAGTTTTAGATCTTCCCTTGCTTATAAGGAAGCATGATTACTGTGGAAATCTGGATTCTGTGGCCCCAATGTACCTAGACAACCCAATTTGGAGGTTGCTCTGAAACGATCATTGTGATAGAGCCAGGTCCTTTTGCTGGCTAGGTTGTGGAGAAAGTATATCAGTATCAGTACAAGTGCTGCGTTCACTGAGATGGCAGCCTAAGGGAACTATGAGCCATAAACTAGTGAAGAACCTTCACATACCTGAGCCTGATTTTGGGGGTAGGTGGGTGAGTGTTTCTGGCAGGCTTGAGTTGTACATTTAAGATTTCTGCCCAGGAGGTTCAGTTAACAAAGCTAACCAACCAAATCACTAAACCAGATTTTCCTTTCCTTCAGCATGATTTGCGCCTTATGCATTCAGACTTCTTCTGCAGTTGACATTAAGGTGAGCAGTGACATAAATGTTGTGGGCGGGATAAAAGGGCCCTTAAAAATAGGAAGAGGTCTGCACTGGGACAATGAGACTTTGAGTCTGTTTCTTTCTCCCTCGACACCTTCCAACCCATCCCTCCGCCTCCTGCCATCAGCCACAAAATTCAGTCTGCCCACCAGCGTCTCTTGGCGGGGCAGTTGGAAGCCTGCTTGTACCGGGCTCTTCACACACTGGGTCACTTTGTGGCTGGCAGCTTGTGTCCTTGGGCGGAGGTCTGGGAAGGGCCCCATGTCTGAACTGCGTGCACTGCAGCCTTTGCTCAGATGAGGATAATGCTGGGTTTCTTTGCTGCTCCCTCGGCATTAGCTTGTTTTTATCAAATGCCTGCCTGGTTTGCTTCAGTCGTTTGTATTTTTGTTGAGACAGAATAGAAATGAAATACAAAAATCCCGTTTCTCTGAAGCTCCTCACACCAATCTTTTCCCTCAAGGTTTCCCTGCAGGTGTTGGATGCCGTGGTGTGTTACAATTGCCTGCCTTCCGAAATCCTCCCGATGTTCATCATCACCTTGTGCTGGACCATCAATGTGAAGGAGCTCTGTGAGCCCTGCTGGAAGGTGAGGCGTTTCTCCCGGGCTCAGAGCAGGAAGCAGCTGAGCAGCAGGAGAAAAACTCAGCAGCATGGAGTTTTTTTGGGGGGCGGTGGTGGCTTAAGGAACCTGCTGCTGGGTTTACCTATCAACCAGGCCAGAATCTGTTTGGGTTGTGAGTTTATTTATGATAGTTAAGCAAGCCCTGGTATACTGGTCTGGTTCATGTCCTATACTAAGCCATAATGTGCTTTGTTTATGATTAGTGCTATTTTTATAAGTAGGTTGAGTTGAATAAGGCACATTCAATCCCAAACAGCAAATTCAGTCATGTAGATTTGCGAACCAAGCAATATTCTGATCTGGTAATGTTCTTCTCTCCAGGCAAACATGCCCAGGTCCTTCTATTCACCAGAGAAAGTTGCTTTGAGATCTAGGATGGGAGCAGGTATTTTCTAGGGATGGGTTTCAAACAGCCTCCTTTTGCCTTAATGCTTCCATACAAAATATTTGGGATAATGCAGAGTGGATCTCTCTCTGCCCTTTTTGGAGCTGTCAGGTTGGCAGGTAGAAGGCCTGAAGAGCTGCTTTTCACTCATAATTCTTCCAGCACCACTCCTCCCCAGGTTTCCACCCCCAGGTTTTACAGATCAGTTTTACAGACCAGGTTTTACAGATCACTTATAGATCAGGGGTTCAGCCCTTTATTGGCTGCTTTGCATCAGAAACACATCTGAAATTCAACTTCACATATCTGTGCTTTAAAGAGCAGGAATTTTGCATTGAAAATGTTTGGGTGATGTTTTAGAAGATAGTATGCCAAGTTAAGGGACGCAGTGGCTCAGTGGCTAAGATGCTGAGCTTGTTGATCAGAAAGATCAGTTCAGTGGTTCGAATCCCTAGCGCCACGTAACGGAGTGAGCTCCAGTTGCTTGTCCCAGCTTCTGCCAACCTAGCAGTTTGAAAGCATGTAAAAATGCAACTAGAAAATAGGGATCACCTTTGGTAGGAAGGTAACAGTGTACTGTGCGCCTTTGGTGTTTAGTCATGCTGGCCACATGACCACGGAGACGTCTTTAGAGAGCGCTGGCTCTTTGGCTTTGAAACGGAGATGAGCACCGCCCCCTAGAGCCAGAAACGACTAGCACATATGTGCGAGGGGAACCTTTACCGTTACCTTTTATGTCAAGTCATCTACCATACAGCACATTATTGATGTAAATGTAGCTTCATTAAATTTCTGTTGGAAAATTTGTCATCAGGCTTGGTGCTCTCTTCATGTCTTTGTTGCAAAATGTATAGTACTTTCTATGTACAATTCTTGGGATTCCGTACGCTTAAGAGCCCTTATTTGTCCTTCAGCTCATGCGGAATCTGTTGGGAACTCACCTGGGTCATAGTGCCATTTATAACATGTGTCGGATCATGGAGGATAGGTATGTGGCTGTATGTCTTTCTCAGGGATGGGAGCAAGCCTTAGTTGTGGCACGTAGAAGGACCACCTTGTCAGCGCAGAGAGATGGTTGGGCGCCACAAAAATGAAATGTGGTTTCAGCTTGACGTAGGAAATGTAGAAAAGCTGGGACCTGTTGTTCTTGTGCAGACTTTTGTGAGGAAGATTAGGGATGCTTCCCACTGTTATCTGTTTTCAGGACCTACATGGCAGATGCTGTCCTCCTGAGGGGAGCTGTCTTCTTTGTGGGGATGGCCTTGTGGGGTGCACACAGACTGCAGTCTCTCAAAAATTCACCAACATCCGTACTGCCCTCTTTCCTGAAGGTAAACATGAGACTCTGAAAAGGGTTTGAAACAGAGTGTAGAGTTGCCTCCTAAAATTTGGGCCCTCCAGATGTATTGGATTTTATTCCAAATAATTCCAAGTGCAGCACAGCCATAAGCCAGAGGCTTCGTGGCTGTTGGCCCAACTCTTCCCAAAGTTCCCCGCTTGCAAAGGCTGCTGTGGGTTCTTGATAGCAAAGCAAGTGATATTCCAGTCCCAGCTTAGATGTAAAGTTCACCGAATATTCACTCTGGTTGAGGATTGGTTGCCTTGCCTACCTGCAGATCAGCAACTAGGATACAATTTGGGTAAGGGAATCTTTTACAGATCTCTGAACTCCTTGGTGGAGGAACAATTAGATGAATGCTGGAGAAGAGAACCTGGGCAGGGGATAGATTCAGAGATTCCTAAACACAAGGTTCTCTTCTTAGTGGCTTCAGAGTGGCTTCCATCCCAGATGTGGAGCCTCATAAGAGCGCTGAGTGAGTAGAAATCTAAGGAAGCTATAAACATCTGGATTCCTCTCTTGGTTGAAATGTTTCACAAACATCCAGTTCTACTCAGACTAGTTGCTGGCTTGGAGTCTTACTTGCATTTGTTTACTATTTAGATTTGTTATTAATTTTACTATAAAATATGTCTACCACTTTCTTCCCAGATGGTTTTAGGCAACAAAAATACAAAAAATGATGCAGCTTTTGGATTTCAATAATACTGATGAAAGCAGCTACACATAATAATAGAATATAAAAATGGCACGTGTATAAAAATCCCTAAGTAGAGTCAACCACTTCTGCTCTGTTTTCCCCCTCGCCCCAGCAGAAGAGTACCTCCACCACTGTCTGGCTAAAATTCACGAGGAGAGGGGCCATTCTGGGGAGGGTGCAAGTGCTGCTTCTACTCACCAGCTCTTTCCTTGACTGGGGCTTTTCCTTTTAGGCCATGTCAGCCCCCAATGCCATCGTGTCTTACGAAATCGTCCTCTCCATAACAAGGCTGATTAAGAAATACGGCAAGGACCTCCAGGCAGTCACCTGGGACCTCCTTTTGGATATCATGCAGCGGCTGGTCGAGCAGCTACAGGTTGGTGCCCTCCTGGTGGAGCAGAGTTTGCTATGCAGCTGACCAAATTGTGAACTTCTGGTGTGTGTGGTTGAAGGTTGTTCTTGCTGTCTAGATTTGTAATAGTTAATCTACAGAATAACACTAGAAACTCGGATTAATAATATTTATTGGCAGGAAGGTAAACAGGTAGAACACAAGGATTCCAGAGACCATCCTTACTCTCAAAGGCAACTGCTCTAAATTTAGGTCAGAAAATGTGTCTGTTTCCTGGTTTCCAGCTGGAAGTTTGCTTCTTTCTGGAAGGTCCAGCAACCGGTGCCTGTTCTGCATCTGGAACTCTCACAGAAATAGAGGCTCTTGATTAAATAATTGCTAGGGGGAAATCAGCTGAGTCTCAAGTCTAACCGTTTGGGTTATGAACTGTAGCTAGGAAGAATGTGCATTTTCCTCCATTCTTAGGCAGCGGGGTTAATGGAAGCAGCTGCTAAACAGTGTGTTGAAATAAGAGGTTTTTTTCCTTCTGCCTTCTAGACTTTGGAAAGCCAGGAACTGAAGTCCATTGTCCACGATTTGCTGACCACAGTTGAGGAGCTGTGTGACCAGAATGACTTCCACGGCTCCAAAGAGAGATACTTCGAACTTGTGGAGCGATGTGCTGACCGAAGGCCTGTAAGGCTTCGGGTGGGAAATGTCCCCCCTCAAGCGATCCCTTCTAGTCATTTGATTCAGCCCCAAATTGCTCCTTCCCACAGTTGCTGATTTAATGCACTTCTAGATGGTCTTCTAGGCCCTCTGGTCAAAGCCAGCTGAGGAGTCTTGGATGGCATTAGCATGCAATGCTTTGCTACAGCCACGTAGAAAAAAGCGGTCAGGTAGTCTGTTCAGAGTTAATGGTACTTATGACCACTTTTCACACCTATGACCATTGAGCATCCCCATGGTCAGGTGATCAAAATTCATACACTTGGCAATTGGTTCATATTTGTGATGGTTGCAGGGTCCCAGAGTCACATGATCACTTTTTGTCCCGCAAAGTCCATGGGGAAGCTGTGTTACCAACCTAACAACTTTTTTTCTCACCCAATCTAGAATCCCAGTCAATAAGGCTTTTAACAGTTCACTGGCTCTGGATGGGACATTTTGGTTTTCATTTTTAATGTTGTAATGTAATGTAAAATGGAGCAAAAATTACTAAACAAATGTCTTGCTTAGCAACATAAATTTTGGTCTCCATTATGGTCATAAATTGAGGCCCCTCTGTGAGTTCTATGTCCATGGAGTTGTATGGAGTTTTTTTTAAGTTCTGTAGTTTTACATCTCAGGACATGGGACAAATCATCTGGTCCTCAGCAGTTCTTTAAAACAGGTGAATTCAGCCTCAGATGAAGAACAACAAAGGGCATCATTTATTTGACAAAAAGAAAGTGGAGAAGCCCTGTGTGGAAAACTTAAATCCACCCTGACTACTTCCATAGGTATGTGGAGGCTACATAGCAGCCAGGAGCTGCTAATCTGGGGCCCTTGATCAACTGAGCATCAGCAATTGGGACAACCTTTACAAAAGCCAAACTTTTAGGCACTTGCTGGTCCCCAGCATTGAGTTGTGTGTTCACACAGTGCCAAAGAGGGA